ATGCAGATCTGTCCCGGGCCACCCCTCTCTGCCCCAGTCCCTCACCCAGGGCCCCTCTCACCCCCCAAACCCACCCCCCACATCCTCTGCACCGAGAATCAATGGGGCGCCCTGAGGACGCTGGCATGGGCCTTGGAGGAGGAAAGAGGCCAGGACTGGGACAAGGTGGCCCTGAGTCCCTGATCCCAGGGATCCCCAAAGCAAAGATCTTCAATCTCATTAGTTTTGTCTGGTGTAGACTACTCATCTCAAATTACTGAGCATGGGCATGGAATTACAGTAAATAGATTAGACTGAATTATTTGAGTGGATTAAATGTTGGAAAGAATACCATAATGTCCACCAAGGAATGAGATAACCCTTCCAGGAATGAGTGAAAGAGAAGCGAAAAAGATAAGTATGGGTTTTCAGGAACGCCAGCACTTAGGGGTCGAGCAGCAGCAGAACAGAGACCATGAAGCTGTCAAAGGACAAATTGTGACACACACATACATATATATATATATAATGCATACATAACTAATATGTGTGTGTGTGTATTGTACTGAGGGTTAAACCGAGGAGGTGCATTACCACTGAGCCACTTCCCGAACTATTTTTTATGTTATTAATTCTGAATTTGTGATCCTCCTGCCTCAGCCTCCATGCAACTGAGATTACATGTATGCACCTGACTAAAATTTTTGTTTTTTTGTCTTTTCTGGTACTAGGGATTAAACCCAGAGCCTTCACACAAAGATATATTCCCCAGCCCTTTGTTTTGTTTGTTTGTTTTGTTTTTTGTTTTTTTGAGACAGGATCTCACTAAGTCATTAAATTCCCCAGCTAGGCTCAAATTTGCTATCTTCTGCCTCAGCCTCCCTAAACTACATTACCAGCCTTTAAACCTTTTTTTAAATATATATAATGTATCCCTAAATCACTAAATTTCCCACGCTTTTCAATCCTCTTGCCTCAGCTCCCCACAGTGCTGAGATTAAGGGCCTGCACCAGTTTATCTGCTCTAATGGTTTACCTTTAGAGGGAGTTAAATCTAACCCTTGTGCCAGACAGAAAAACATCAAAGAAGGATTGTAATTGATAATCCTTGGACCAGTACTTTTGATTGTTATACCGGAGATAGGATGTTGTCTCTGACTGTCTCCTCCAGGGAGCTCACTGTATAGCCCAGGCTGGCCTTGAACTTGCTGTGAGCCTCCTGCCTCAGCCTACTGAGTACTGGAATTGCAGACATGTGCCACCACACCCAGTTGAAGTTACTCTTTCATTGTAAGCAAGATAAACTAAAGGAACTGTCTTTAGGGGTTGCCTATCAGTCTCGAGCAGAAATTGAAAGGACATAGTAGCATGAAGTCATTTAGGCGGTAATCCCAGGATGCAAGAATGAAGGACTGAGGATACGACAGGGGAAAGAAAAGCCAAATTAGCCGGGCATGGTGGCGCACACCTGTAATCACAGTACTTGAGAGGCTGAGGTAGGAGGATCACTGTGAGTTCAAGACCAGCCTGGGCTACATAGTGAGTTCCTGGTCAGTCTCAACTAGATAGTGAGACCCTGTCTCAAACAAAACAACACAAAACAACCCAGAAAAGCCAAATTAATGGCACATTATGGACATCACCCCTGTAGATAATGGAGCCTTGATTCCATAGGATTTCTAAAATTAAACTTATTTAGCTGGTATATTATATATATATATATATGGTATTGTGTAATGTTCTGAAACACATATATATTGTGTAATGGTTAAGTCAGGAAATGGATGCCTATCTCCTCAACACTTACCATTTTTGGTTTTGGTTTTGTTTTTGTTTTTGTGGTACCAGGCATCAGATCCAGGGCATTGCCCTGCTAGGCAAGTGCTCTGCCACTGAATTACATCTCCAGTTCTTTTTCATTTCTCCAATAGTGGTGACCCCCTACTTCTGGAAAAAACTCAAAGTCCTTTACTTTTAGCTTTTAAAAATATACAGCACATCTGTGGGTGTGATGGCGCACACTTGTGATCCCAGCACTCTGGAGGCTGAGGCAGGAGAATCATGAGTTTGAGGCCAAGCCTGGGCTACACAGTGAGTTCAAGGCCAGCCTAGACTACATAGTGAGACCCTGTCTCAGAAACATATAGTAATAAAAGAAAATAAATTAAAACGTATAGCACATTACCATTATCTGTAATCACCCAACTCAGCAACAGTGCACCATCACTTCTTACTCCTATCTAACTACAACTTAGTGCCCATTAATCAACCTCTCTTCAACTCTCCTTCCCCCTCCTTCCTGTCCTCCCGGCCCCACATGGACTTTTAAGGAGACAAAATGGGGCTGGGATTTAGTTCAGTGGTTCCACTGCCTGTCTTGCAAGCGCAAGGTCCCAAATCTGACTCCCAGTACGAAAAAAAAAAAAAAAAAATTTGGGCCAGGGATTTAGCTCAGTGGTTCTGCCAAAAAAGAAAGACAGAAAATATCTCCCGAATGAGGAGGTCTGAGGCCATGGCAGCTCCTCCCCTGCACAGGTCAGCATTTTCCCCAGGAGAGGTAACTTCCTTTGGTTTCAGCTCTCTCCCTGGCCAAGAAGGCTCACGTGAGCCCAGAGTGCCCCCCCCTTTTATTAGTACATCTTTGTCATAGTTTTATCACATTCATCACGGGGGATTTGTACCTGTACATAATATATCTTAATTCTTCTTTTTTTCTATTCCCCTTCCCTCTCCTTTCAATCCTTCTTCCCCTCCCATTTATAAAAGCTTTGTTTCCCTTTTTCCTTCCATTTTTTCCTTTTCCCTTCTCCCTCCTGCTGTCGTGTTTCCCTTTCCATTTGAACTCGTTCTCCTACTTCCCAGTGTCTATCCTACTTTATGCTCTTTTTTAAAAAATTTAATGTATTGGTACATTCTAGGTACACAGTGCAGTTACACTCATCACTGGGATCCT